GGGGGGGGGGGGGGCTGAGCTCACACTGGACCACAGGGTCTCCACAGAGAGTGGGATGCAAACGGAACCCACCTTGAGAAATACTGCAAGAAAGGTCTCACAGTGAATACTATACGTTATAAATGTTTGAGCCCTAAGTGCAACTACAAGAAAAGCGCCCAGCACCCCCCGTATTCAGAGTGAAGAACGCCGTCCAGAAGAAAAGTACCGTGTCCTCTGTTTCCACGGCAGCACTGACTACAAGACGCTTTTCTAACTCAACCAACATATCCCAGAAAGGACAAAGCAAAAATAAGAAAAACCCAACAAGAAAATGGTATATTAAGGCTACAAAGGGCAGCTTGCTGAAGCAAGACCCCGAAGGTAGGTCGAGATGCGAGAAGGAACCAGCCCTGTGATCCGGCGCCTGCACCTGTGGGTGGGACGCCAATCCAGCAAACTTGGCCAACTGACCGTTTATTAAGGGGCCACGCGACCTTCCCTCCACCCTGTTGTGACTGGAGATCACAGGAACACAAGCAGCAGCACAGAGATGTCAAATGTAGCTCCTTAAACGGTGGAATTTGGTTAGTGATGATGCTTCTAGTTACAAACAACAAACTCCCAAATAAAAGCCCAACACAACTGGTGTAACCCTGGGCATCTGTCCACGCACCTGGGGCTCCACGGCAGGGCCAGTAGACACCTTGCCTGGCACTCGGACAGCTCTATGTACACTCTCTGAGTGAACCATGGCTCCCGTTGAGCTCTGAAGGGTCAGTGTTGCCAGGGGAAGGCCAGAGGAATGCCACTGCCTGTCTAGGCCACTCTCAGCTCAGGGCAGCCGCTCGGGGGCCCAGTGCTGCCCAGGGAGAGCAAGAATGTGAGGCAGGACCACACGCCTACCCCAGAACGTCACCTCGGACACCGCCCTGAGCGTATCTACACAGTGGGGTGTATGGTCCTCAACCTCAGGCAGGCGGATTCTGTCAGCAGAGGAAGTGAAGGGCGCACCTACAGGACTCGTGGGGACGGTTCACTCAGCAAGCGCCCTCCCCCCCGGGAAGTGTCAATGCTGGTCCACTTGGGTGTCTCACTTCCACGTCCTGCTCACACCCACCATCGCCACCAACTGCCCACCTGGCTGAGCGTGGAAGCAGCAGGCAGCCAGGGAGGCTGAGAACCACCACCCAGCACGGGCCCAGAGGTTCCCTCCTCCCTCATGACACCATCTGTCCTGGGGACGAGGCAGTCGGGGGTCAGGCCCAGCCCCCCACCCTGTCATCTACTGGGATGTGGGCAACAGCGGCACACGTGTGGTCAGCAAATGGAATGGCTCCTGGAGGGCGGCACTGAGCAGGCGTGAGTTAGCCGGTGCACAGCAGATGACAGGTAACCCTGACTGCTCCAGCTGGGACCCGACGCAGATAGGAAAGAGTGCAGAAAGGTCCCTCATGGAAGTGGGAGGCACTTTCCACATGGTCAGTCAGGGCCCTCAGCAGAAAACCACATCCAACCCAGAGCTAGACACAGCCTGACTCCACACACATGCTGTGCCCAGCCCACCCGAGGGAAGCCAGCAAGGGTGTTCCGTGGTGCAGCCAAATGTACCTGAAGGAGGAGTGCTCCGTGTGGACTTGCAGGGAGCCGGGGGGCCCGGGGCCGGCAGAGCCCTTCCGGATGAGCTTGCCAGTGCTGGCGTCGTAGATCCGGACGTCGGGGCCGGGCTGGGCCCTGGGGTGCACAGGTGTTGGATGGAACAAGGTAGCGGGCAGCGCCCCTTGCCTGTCGGGAAAGGCTGCGGGGCCATCCTCCCTGTGGGTGAGGACAGGCCATGAGAAGGGGCCCAGACTGACTGGGGGACAAGGGATGCCCTCGCAGGCCCACAAACTAGGTCCCTCCACCTGACGCTCAAGAGCCTGTGTGGATGAAGGTGTGGACACCACCCTTCTTAAATGCCAGGGCACAGCCCTGGGCAGGACGGCACAGACATGAGACAAAGAGGGGCCCCACCTGGGACCTCAGCACAGAGGCTGCATTGTTGTTTCCCTCAAGCCTGTCGCAGGATTTTCCCTCTAAATACAACATTCAAACTGAACAGAAAGATTTTTTAAGTCTTTCTGAAAAAAATGACCAGCCTCTCTTCCGTATTCCTCGCCTTGGCCCAGCTCCCCCACCCCGATTCTACGGCAGTTGTGTGGCTGACGTAACTTCCAGCAGCCGTGAAGGAAACACGCAAACCAGATTCGCGGCTGAGCCCTGCTGCAGTCACAGGACTAGGCAGCAGCCGTCACCTTTTTCAGATAATCTGTGCAGGGCAGAGCCTGGAGGAGCTGCAGTGGGGCAGCCAGGGCACAGGTGGGAGGTCTCTGAGGAAGCCGAGGACGCACATCGCGGATGCCACGTGGGGCTGCGGGCAGTGAGGCTGGCAGCCGGGGGGCTCTCCAGAGGGGACAGGCCTGTGGGCAGCTCACCTCTGCACTCTGCCGTAGTCCTCGCTCAGGGGGAAGAGCTGCTCCTCCACCCTGTCCCACCGCTCAAGGCAGCTCCACAGCCAGTCAGGGTTCACCACATGCAGCTGTCCGCACGCCTGGGCTTGCCGCACCTTCTCTGTACCTGCAGGGAGGGGCACAGCAGCCCTGCTGTCCAGGGGCCCTGCACCGAGCCCGTGGCACTCGCCCAGGACACGCCCACGTGCACACAGGGGCCCAGACGGGCAGGCACGGAGCTGGCCCGGTTAGAGTACTGCTGTTGTGCGTCTACAGGAAGACACTGCTGAAACTTCCACGTGACACGGGAGCCATGCTAGTTTCAGGGTGACCAGCTGAGACCAACGCAGGCACGCCTGGCCCAGAAGCCCCCTCGGGTGCCCTTGCCCCCACCCCAGGGCGGGACCCAGCGAGGGCCCAGAGGCTGGGCCGGCCACTCACCTGCCTTGGCGGCAATCAGGTGGGTGGGCCTGTCGGGCGCGTCGGGGTCCACCACCAGCTGGGTGAGGATCCGGGCGCCGAGCGCGGTGGCGTGGTAGTGCTCCCGCGTCCGCTCCACGGGCAGGTTGGTGGGGTGTAGCCCACTGAAGACGATGGCCACGTCCGCGAGCACCCGGCTCTTGAGCTCGGGGACAATCCTGCGTATGTCAGGGGCCTCTGGGGCCTCCCCGCGCAAGTAGCGGTCGTACCGGGCGTAGTAGGCGGCGTGCACGCGGGCGAGGATGCCCTCCAGGTGCACCAGGTGGTCGTCCCCATCCTCCTCCTCCTCCTCCTCCTCCACACTCTGGTCCAGCGACTCGCCCACCGTGATGCCCGACTGCTCGCTGTTCTGGGACTCAGTCTCGGCCTCCTTCCTGTCAGCGGGGCTGCCGGCCAGCCCGCAGAGGCCATCCCGCTCCCCCTCCTCCTGCGGCTCTGCCGGCACTGCAGGCACAGGCTCCCCGCAGTGATTTGCCCCCACAGGCCTCTCCCCTCCCTGGCCCAGGGCCCCGCCTGGCTGCACAGCTCTCCCCGTGTCCTGCGCAGCCTTAGGCTCCTTCTGGCTCCTCTTCTCCCCACTTTCACCGTCGGAGGTGCTGGAGGACCGACCCTCCGACTCGCTGCTGCTCTCACTGTCGCTGGACAAGTCAAAGTCCAGGTCGCTGCCCGCAGTGCCCTGAGGCCGCTTCTCAGCCGAGGTCCGGCCTTGCTGCTGAGCACACGCCAGGGGCCCCCTACAGTCTGCCGGAGGGGCGCGGGCAGCAGGTGAGGCCCAGTCCCCATTGAGCTCCCTCGCGGGCTTCCCAAGGCCGTTACTCTGCTCAACCCCAGGGACCTGCCTTCCCTCCTCGGGGTCCATGACAGACGGAGCTTGATCTGGGACGTCGGCGCCTTTGGGAGGGTAAGTCACTGCACGTGCACACAAAGGGAGAAGTCACCGTGATTTTCGAGAAAAGGAAAAGCCGCAGGATACACCCACCACACCCTGCTCAGATAGGCCCTCGAGCCCTCCTCTGCAGGGAAGCCCCAGCCCTCTCAGTCCTAGTCTAGTGGCTGAGCAACAACTGCACATATCAGAACATTTCACTTAATCCTACTCAACTGAAAAATTTCCAGATTACTACTATTTAAAAACTCAAACTGAAACCAAATAACATCATGCTTTTCAGTACAACATAAACACAACAGCCCCTGCAACACTGACATACAAAAAAACAGCAACAAAGTGAATCCTGCATCCAGAGCAGGGGAGACAGTGAAGCAAACACTCATACTTCCTCGAGGGCCAGAAGGGAGCCGCCCACCTTTCTTCCTTGCCAGAGGCTCCCGGGACCCGGGGGGAGCATTGATGTCCCCTGTGCCCTGGAAGTAGACATATTTCTTTACGGTGATCAGGTTGGGGGCGAACTTCCAGACGTCTTCTCGATCATCGATAATGCAAACCATTGAGTCTCCACAAGGAAAGAGATTTCTAGAAGCAAAAGTATATCAGGACTATTAGTGCAATTTACAGGAAAGAACCATCAAGTGACCCAGGTTCTCCTAACACTCACAGCATTAACAGCAGGCCAGCTCCTGAGGGAATGTGAACCTGAGATACCAACACCAATGCCAAACACCTTCTTTAAACTCGTGACTTGGCGGACAGCGCACCTGCTACTCAAGGAAGCTCTGTGCTTTCCACCCACAGTCACCTGCACTTCCTGTGCCCAGCCCTGCTCTCAGGCCCCTCTCCTCAGACCCTGTCCTCCTGGGCTCCTGCCACTGCCTAGACATCAGGGAAAGGCGGGGGAAGGGGTCTGGCTGAAGACAGTGGCAGAAATGGAAACTAAATACAGAATCACTGCTCTGATGCTCCCAGGGCATCCATACGATGGGAACCAACAGTGGGTCTTGTGACGACCCCAGCAGGCACATACCTGAGGTTCCCTGTCTTAGAGAACGGGTCAATGCACTCGTCCCTCGACAATATTCGGTGAGAGAAAAGCTTCTTCTCAGGGTCTAAAAAGCCTTTAAAGAGAAAACAGGACAAGGTCACCCATGTCTAAGATGCCCAGAGGCTCCACTGTGCACATGGCAAAGGTCTCAATGCTTCTTTAGAATCAGACACAGAGTCACAGAACCTACGAATTCACATTAGTCTTCACACCGCATGTCCTAGCAGTCACACAGCAGCCACGTGCCAAAAGCATGTATGTTGAATTTTAGTTACAAGATGATTTTAGTGTTGCTGACGTGTCTGTGATTAAAATGTCCTATGAGGGCACTACATGGAACAGGGCCACGTCGAGATGTCACGCTGCTCTGTTTGCACCTCTAGTGTTAAGTGCAGATGGACATAAGTGACATGGCTCCTTAGCTGTTTCCAAACCAATTAATAAAACATTTTCTTAAGATCACTTACACAAGAAGTTTCCTCTTCCTGGTATCTGTGGTCCTGACCAACTTCCAAACTGGTCTTTGGCCCTACCTGACCAGAGTGACTACAGGGCAGGGAGGGAGGGGCAGGAGCAGTGGCTGAACTTTAGACTTAACCCTCCCAGTGAGGCTGACTCAGAGCTCATCACGGACAATTAGAATGACCCAGCATCAGTGTCCCGGGCGCATCTCTCGAAGTTTGGCTGGAGCCGCACACTCACCTGCGATCGTGTGCGCATATAGCCGGCTACCAAAGGTGAAGACATGCAGCTCGTACAGCCTGGCAACCTTCTCCAGGAACTCCCTGCAGTGTGGACGCAGGCGAGTGTGCAGCATCGGCTCACCCCGGCCCAGCTGGAAGTGCAGGATACCCTGCAGAGAGCGAATGGCCAGTTGGCAGAGGACCCGAGGGCACCAACTCCACCCCACCATCACAATGGGTCCAGGCAGGAAGCCAACTGACCCAGCACAAGCTTTCCTCACACGTGCTCCACTGGAGTGAGCTCAGCCCCCTCTGCAGCCACTACCCACAGCAACCACACAACTACCCGCGACAACTACACAACTACCCACAGCAACCATCGATGACAACCACACAACTGCCCACAGCAACCATCGAGATCACAGCGACTACCTGTTGCCAGTCTACAGTAATTACCTATGGTAACTAGGGCAACTATCTACAAGTACAGAGAGTGCCTGGGACAAACACCCACAGGAACAAGCTATGACAACTGAGACCACTACCCAGTCACTACTGCATCACAGAAGGGCTGCAAGGACACCAGCAGACCCTACGCTTCCTGACGACTGCGCCTACTCTTTCTGATGGCAGATAAAGCAAAGTGTCCCCAAGTAATGTCACGTACGTCTGTATTGTCACACACTGACATCTGTCCAACTGCAGAACCACAGCAAGTGGCTTAGATCAGGTTCCCATTAGTCTACTGACAGCATCTTCCCCAGGTACCAATAAAAGCAAACCACAGGTTCCACGGAGGCTAGTCCACCTCACAGACCACTTTAAGACACAGCTTTATTAACTTACAGACACATCACAGGACCTGAAACAGCATTTTAAACCACCTTAGCAGATAGTGAAATTAGTAACACTCAGTTGCTTGTACACAATTAATATGCAAATAAGCTCCCTCTCTTGAGGAAGTAAACTCAGACCCTTTAATCCTGTCATTAATGTTCTCAGTTAAAATGCTCTAAATAACAACTATAAAGGGAAGGTGCCGATCTCAGGCTTGGCTAACTTTCTCGGCTCTAGTCAGCCAGAGCCCTTCAGGATCGGGCTACTTAGAACACTCAAGAGTGAAGCCTTATAAACGACCTTCACCCCACTCAGCAGTAAACAGTTACTGAAAGGCAATAAACTCCCTTAAAGGCACAAGTTCAGATCTGCAGAGTTAAGAACTAAACCCATCTTTCTGAAGTCTCAGTAGCACCCAGGTCAGCTGCAGCGTGTGGGTGGGCTCTGAGTGGCGGGTAAAGCCC